TTACACGATCCATTGATTAGTTCTACCAACACAGCTATTAGTCCTTTGTTAGCTCCTACAACATAAGACCTTAACATGCCAAGGTCAGTTACTTTTAAATAGACTTTCTTCTTCACTATTCGCATATTTGTAATGCTAATTTAAAGCAAGTACTCTATATTTCCTCTAAATACTTTTCACACCTCATCCTTGTGCTCCTGTGATCTTTCCACGTGGGCGGAATTTGGTGAGAAATGCAGGCATGCGAACAGACTCAGACAACCTGAGTGTGATCATTTCTCAGCTAAGTCAGGATGAGGACAAACTGACAGGTGTGGGGCGTAGGACTCTGGCTGCAAACAACACATATGTAGTGTTTCCGTCACTTCAGGGGACATTACATTGACTCTCTGTCCTACATATGTCCACATCTAGGACAGAGAATCATACAGTTGTGTGTGCTGAAGGGGAACTGCCCCGCTGTAATGGGCCTCTGCAGGAAGAGTGACGCTAACCAGCATGAATAAGCACTGTATGGATGAAAGAGAGGTGGGCGACTACTCAGTATGCATCCTTGCCTGTGAGTAATGTGTTCCACCTTTTCAAAAGCGGACAGACAAAAATGTCAGACAATCAGCATCCCAGGTTGAGCATGCAGACTCGCACATATTCATCAAATCCCTCTGCTCTATGCAAGCACATCCAGTACCTCTGAGACTTAACAGGACACACATGTAGTACACACCGCAGACATGCAGACAGATGGACAAATTCCACAGCCAGGAACACAAACACACTCCACAGGTGTGTGCTTGCTGCCCAGCAGTGTGTCTCCTCCTGAGGCCACAAGCTGTGTGATAAGCACAATAATAAAGTCTGATAAAATACACAAACCCATATACATGTCTGGTTATCTTACTATATACAAGGAAATGCACGTAATTGTGTTGATAGCTGTCAAGCTCCCACAAAGGTAAAATAACTTCAGCCAGCTGAAAAACCAAGGGACAATGTTTTATATTGCCTGCTATGATCAGCTGGAAATACTGCAACCAAAACACAGAAATTTCATGTTTTTGCTTCATGAATACCTATAATAGGGACCAGAGAGTAAACAGTATGTACTTCTCAAGGCTTGTGCAAAGAACAAGGACACACACACACACACACACACACACACACACACACACACACACACACACACACACACACAAAACAAAACAACAATGTTATGCAATTACGTCCTCTCTAGATAGTTCGTAAATGACAGTTTCTAATAAATGCATACATAACAACCAATGAAAAAATGTACATACCATAGCAAACCAATAATCAGTATGTGGAATAACTTAATATCAGCTGATAATATTGGACTACCAATATTAGTTGGACTCTAACGCCCGTATTTCTCATTATTTTTTTATTGTAATTGTAAAATTCTATATCTAATCGGCTGAGCTGTAGCTTATGTTGGAGCTTAAACATTCACAGTAACAGTTTAAATATTGAGGCTACTGTTCACGTATACACTCACTCACATCCATGTTGGATCTGCAGTATTGCAACTTAAATTGTTTAAGACTTTACAAAGAGAGAAAGACTAGAAGCCTCACTTTTCCAACAAATCTTTCAACATCACTATTTTCTGTAGTTTTTTGCATGCAAGCACACGCACACGCACACACACACACACACACACACAGACAGTACACGCAAACACAGATGAAAGGAAATTCCATCTTGGTGACTTTCTCTGGGTGGGTCTTTTCCAAACTAAGCAAAGACCAGCAACTGCTTTATATCTGTGTGTGAGAATGTGTGGATGTACAAATTTAAAAAACTTTGAGACTTTGTGTGCTAAATGGCATGCACACCCTATCTGGCACGCAAACAGCTGCATTATGGAATGTAATAAATAACATGTTTCAGAACCTTTGGCGCACTCTCTCTCTCTCTCTCTCTCTCTCTCACACACACACACACACACACACACACACACACACACACACACACACACACACACACACACACACAGTTGTCTTGAGAGTGGCTGTCTGTATCCCCACAAGTCATAAAACTCTTTGACCCTGACCCAGTTTCAACACCAAACCCCAATTATTTTGCCTAGACCTGTAACATTGTGCACTTTTGCAGTTTGACAGCAGTTACATAAGGATTTGTGTTAGTAGAGAACATGGGGGGGAGTGTGAGTGAGAAAAACAGAAGGGTGGAAGAGAGACAAGAGGAGAGGCAAGAAGGACAAGACAGGAGGAGAGGGAATGGAGGATAAAGGTGCAAATAAATGAAGGAGAAGCAGAAAGAAAATTGATAGAGACAGTGATGTCACCCTGTAGTGTCACTGCAGTGAGAGGGACAAAGAAAGAGACTGAAAGAGAGAGAGAATAATGGATGTTGAGAAAGGGACTTAAGAGATCTATTGGCTGAGAAGTCATGCAGACAACCTTTCACTCTTTAGGCAATTGATTTAGGGGTACTGTGCAGAATGCATTGTGTGTGTGTGGGCATGTGTGTGTGTATGTGCACACGCACGTGCCTTTGACTGAGTGACGGTGAAACTCTGGTTTAAGGCCTTGGGGCATAATGGAGTACTACTAGACATCTCTCTTTTGAGACTGTACTTGAGACTGAGACTGTCTTTCTCCTCTCAGTGTGTTTGTGTGTGTGAATGCAAGTGGATGTTTGTGTGCATACAGGTTGGTGTGTGTTTATGCATGTGTAAGGGACAGACATCAACAGAAAGAATGAGGAAGAATTGGGAAAAAACACAGAAACCTTGGCAGTCTGTAAATGTGAGCTTTAATCCCTCTGGTGTGTATGTGTGTGTATTTCTGTTACTCATGCTGTGGGTCCTGCTCACACAAGGTGAACCATTGCATTTAAGAGTAAAGTCTTTGTCTTATGGGCAATGTAAGGTCTAGCACATACAGTAGCATTTATGGTTAAGTCCTCAGTGAATAATTGTAAGCCAATGTGTTGTCCTCCTATTTGACAAAAACAAGATTGTGTGACTGCCTCTGTGTGTGTGTGTGTGTGTGTTTCAAGAGGACAGCATAATGGAATGCCTCAGTTCAAGACTTGCCAAGAGCACTTTTCCCATACGCAAGGGAGCCAAGACTTCCCCAACCAGCCAAGAATAGCACCGACTCTCTCACTCTCTCTCTCTGCTTTACTCCACCTCTCACTCACATAGCCACATACACACAAACACTCACACTTTCTACTCTTTGGCTTTGACAAGAAAGGAGATGATATAGTGTGAAGGAGGGAAGGAGAGCCTCACACTTCAGTCAGCACAGTTAAAGAGACAGAAGGCCAACAAAAGGAAGAAGGATGCTTTCTGAATTATTATACTTGCATTGTAAACCTTATGCAACCATGCTTAAACAATCTTGTATATGGTTATGTCAATAAAGCACATTTAATTTGAAAAACCCTGAAGTCTCACTTCTGGTTTGGTAACATGTTTTTGATCAAAATATCACGCTAATGAAGCGTCACTGAGAGGAGTCAAACTGAAAAAACAAGTGAGAGAGGAAAACAAAGCGGAAGAAAAACAGAGAATAGCATTAAACATACAGTTTCCAACTGTGAAACTGCAGCGCTGTCCAAACTCTGCTCTCTGTGGGGTAAATGAGAACACTCTCTGTGAATGCGAACCATACGTACAAGTGCATGTGTGTGTACACTTAAACAAGCATGTTTGTGTGAGAGAGCAACAGCCTGGTGGATAAAGATGGGGACCAGAGTGCACTCCTTTCTCCCATTGTGAGGCACCAAATATTGAGGCAACAGAACAACAGGGAGCAACATGGCCCCCTTTCCAAAAGTGCAGCCATACTGTGGGAAACACTTTGAGCTCATTTGCAACTGATTATATGGATGTATGAGGTTGTTATACACCAAAAATTGTGCCTTAAAAACTGGTTAATAGCAGCGTTTAAGTATTAATGACTTATCTCTTTCTCAAAAATCCACATCTGAAATGACAAAGTTGATTCCATCCATCAAAAGAGCCTTAATATCTGTGACTTGATTGATTTAATGATATGTAGCATATTGGGCAAAATTTGAAAGCCAGACAATTGCTTAAGATGCTATTTAGAACACATTACTTTTTTAATGTCTGCACAGTTGATGCCTGTATTGTGCAATAATGAAATGTTTTAATTAGTTTGTGATACATATTATGAGCTCATAGCTGGACAGATCAGTGCTGCCTTGAGAATTAACATGTCAATTACTATGCTGACACTCTAGTAAATTCAAACAATCTTCCACTCTGTGTGCAAGGTCCTGGTGGAGGTCGCTTAGTGTTTGTTATTAACCTCACCCATGTCAGTTGTTTATTGTTCACGACAGCAGTAAACAGACACACAGATTATCCCTGAGGGGAAAAGGCAAGTGGAAAATAACACTTATCTCCAAAGAGGCAATGTGGGGGTGAGAACTTGAACAACTTTGCTTAAATGTTTGCTTATAATGATTTGTAAAGAGTCACTGGCAAAGCGCCTTATAGTGAGCAGAGGGACTGTCCATCAAACAGAAAGTCTAAGTTGAAATTCCCAGCCTCAATCATTTGCTTGGCTAAAATGTCTGGGAGCATGATAAGCGCCAGCAGCTCCAAAGGTCCTATTCAGCAGCGGACCCTGCAATCTCACTTCAATGTGGAGGGGGAGCAAGTGAAAAGAGAATTTCTCTCCTGGGGATCAGTATTAGCATAAAATAGAGCTGCATGTGCAGCAAGTAATTCCGAGAATGAAACATGACAGTCAGACTTTCAGCTTTATGTTGGAACAACATATTAGCAGTTTGTCAGTCATGATTTAGTAGTAAGCAGTGAACTAATGTCTTCTAGCTCGTCAAGCTCAGCTAAAACATGATATATAGTTCAGCAGTTACTCATAAAATCAGCTTGTGTAATACAAAACAACTACATGTATTTAAAGGGACACCATGATTTGGACACTCAAATGTTGCAGAAAGAACAGGAATATTCTCACCTCTTTCAACTCCTCCAAACCCCCCGGTCTGTTAGCAGGTACAGCCCATGGAGAGGTGTTCCAGAATATCACAGAATACAATGTGTCGAGTCAGGCACTCAGCACTCCCTGGTGGATGGAAACAACCACAGTTAAGACCAAACTAGGGAAATTACTTTTTAATCTTCCTTGAAAAAAACTATTCTAATCACTACAATTATGGCAGAATACGCTGTATGCACAGTATTGTGAGCATAAGCTCATGGTGTAGCAGAAGGGTTTGGACACACAACTGATGATGCATCACAGGTTTAACAGCAAAGCAACACAAACCGGCTTTGATCCACAAGCACACTACAAAATGGGATTGTCACATCTTGCTTCAAATAGAGTGAATAGCAGGTCAAACAGGCAACATGCAAGACATGTGCAGCTCTCACAGTAAAACAGAACAAAAGCATTAAAGTGATGACGATGATGATGGTACATTTGAGTAAGTAAACCATACCGCACTGACATAAAGAGGCAAACCTGCGGCTTCCTACACAAATAAACAATTGTATAAGTAATTTCTACGGAAAAATGTTTATACAGACAGTAAATTAAAAGATTTGTTATTTAGAACAGGAAGATATCACATAATCCTTACACATCTATTATTGTTACACATGTCAAAAATGAAATGAAATGGGTCCCAGGTGAAGTATGCAAGGACAAACATTTATGAAAATCTTGTTTATATATTTGTCACAGGATTTTAAATATTTCTGCCCATTTTTCTAGTTCAGTGTTCACACTATAAACCTTAAAGCCCTTTAAACATTGCTCTTCTTAGATATTTACTCAGTGAATCTTTTCATTCTGTCGCTGTCCTTTGCACTAGTCTGAAAATGCAACGCAAATATGGGTCATCATTATACTGTAAACACCTGTCGCAAACTACAAACAAAACTCCAGTGCATCTTTAAAAACATCACATGTGCAACAAGATGACTTAAGCAGACACCCACAAAGTGGCATAAAAGAGCGGCTGATCACCGATAGTGCGCACACACTATGGGACTAATTAGGCAGGTTGTGGTGGAAAGATGAGGATGTCACAGTCATTCGAGAGAGATGTTCCCTGCTGTTATTCAGCTGCAGCGTGTTTGTGTCAAGGTGTGTTTGTGGCAGTGTGGGGACGTCAAACATCTTACTGACCCACTTCTTACATGTCTGACACAAAAAAGGTGGGGAGATGAAGGGCAAATCAGAACATCTGACAGACAGTGAATCAGCTCCAGTAATTGTAATTCTGCAAACTGTACAGTTACAGGTGAAATAGTACTGAAGGTCACGGCTCTGCTCCTCTTCCCCTTCTTTGAAACACATAGTTTATGGTGACTCTTTCACAGACATACAGTAAGACAAGTTCAGTCAACAGTTAAATCCCTGTAGTGTGTCAGAAGATTTAAATAATTAATGACATCGGGCATCACTGTGTGTAACATTGTAAGGTTGTGTGAGTGTGTCTGTACCACTGAGTTGATCTGAGCAGGATGAAACAAGTAGAAACACTATCTATTTTTATTTTATTTTAGTTCCTCAGCAGTTTGGAACATATCTGATTAGCCTACTGGTCAGTGTCAGGCCAGTTCAAGTCCAGAAACGAATTCATGACAATTGCAGGTAAAGAGTTGGTTCTGATGCTTAGCTTAGCAGGTGTGGGGCTGGTCTGCAAAACTAGAAACATGCAGGGTTCTGGACAAAAGATGAAAAAATGTTTTCCCATTTTTCAAATGTGTTACATACAGCAACTTTTCTAACACCACCCACAACACAGGACCCCTCGTTTGTCACAATTCACAGACTGTGTGCAAGCGTGTGTGGCTATTTAGCTGCGCAAAAGTGTTTTATTGCAGCTTGTAGAAAACAACAAGGGGAATTACAGTATGTGGCTGGTTTTGTGCCACGTTAGTAACAGTAAAATACATCATTCCAGACACACTTTTTACGTTATGATGACTTTATTCTACAGGAGACTAAGAGCTGTGGCGTAAATGAGACATACTGATGGAAAATTGAGGCAGAGAAAGAATGAGAGTGTAAATGTCTGGTGTCAGACATGGGAAAATAGGTTTTCATGGTGGGATGTAGTATAGTGCCAGGCTTAAGTTAAGCATGCATGCAGACACATAACACTGGCTGCATAAAGAAAACAGTTGGGTTTGTGTGCTCTAAAGATGTTTGTAATGTGTATATATAAGGGAGAGACAGAGAAAAATAGCTGTGTACTGAAGCCATGGATTAGCAGATGGCAACTGGCTAAGGAATCTATTATATGGTATTAAACAGTCAAGGGAGAAAGAGGGCTGGTGATGAGAAAAGAGACAAAAAGAGAGAAATAAGACACAGCAACAGAGTGAGAAATGTTAAAAGAGGAAGAGAGGCGATCCAGAGGCGACAAGAAGGAAGACAGATGGAGAGAACGGAGCAGACAGTGAGGAAGAGGGACAGAAAGTAAAACAGATGGTGGCAGAGAAGAGCAGAGAGAAACTCATTGGGAGGACAACACTGGCTCAGTCAGAAAGGCACAGCAGGAAGTATGGAAAGCTGAAAAATGTCAGCATGAAGGGAGGACGAGCAGGGCAGAGCAATGTGGAGGTTTTGTTCCAAAAGTCTACCAACATTAAAAGAAAAAATAATACCTGTATTATCGTTATAGATACTAAGTTCAAATATACTGCCATACTAGAGTTTGTTAAAGCATTTGAAGCAGTTTTGAAAAGTGTTTTGTAAAAACCTTTTTTCAAGGTGTTTTTTATCATCTGAATGGGGAAATGAACTACGCTTCAGGTCCTGACTTCTCATCATGACTCATCTACCAAGTGATTCATCTAAGCTACAAATTAACTTTTATATATAATAAACTGCAGACTCAAATACAATACAAGGTTACCCGGTTACCTCCAAACAGTCAAGGAAAAATGTTTTCATACAGAAGAAGACAACACTGAACTTGTTTAACTATCACCTCACTGAGAATACCAGGCCTTAAGCTACAATGCTGTAAAGACAACACCAGAAATACTGTAGGCACTCAGGTTTAAAATGTACATTGACTACTAATACTTGTTTTGTGGAACAATTTGATTGTTTACAGTGGGAAATGTACAGAAAACAAGATGTGACCTTACATACTCAGTGCTGAGATAAATGCAACACAAATGCTTTTCAGCCTGATTCCACTCCACAACACACACTCACATACTATGTTACATGCGCACAACTAAAGGCACTTTGTCTCGATCTATCATGTCCAATCCAGAAACCAGACAAGCTAAATTAGTCGGCAATGGTTCAGCGTAAACCGCATTAAGGGAATGGCTGATTGAGCTGCAAAGCAGAGTGGAGCAGACAGCTTCTACAGTGAACTAATTGGGTGTGTGGGTGTACTGCATGTGTGTGGCTTTCTGATGTCATTGTGTGTTTTTCTTTGTGTTGTGCCACCATTAAATTGCATTACATGAACTTAGCAGGTGCCTCTGTCCAAAGTGACTTACAACAAGTACATTCAAGCATAAAAGCATATTCAGCGCTACCATACATAAAGATCTATGTACTGCAAGTCTACCTCAGTGACACACAAGGTTCAAGAAGGTGTTTTAATGCATGTTGACACATCTATCTGACACTTTCCTCAAGAGAAACTTACAATGACTGAACAGGTGAGGGTTTGGTGTATCGCTCAGGACATGCTGTTGACAGTACAGCTGAGTGCTGGAGCCGCTGTTCAGGCGACAAAATGAGTGATGTGCACACCATGGGCGGAGCCAGGACGTGGCTAACGGTTGCACTGGCCAGCCCCAGAACTGGCCACCTCTGGTAGTCAAAATGTGATGCTTGTCAGCATTAATGAATGAAAAATGGAAAATGACAAATTATTGGCTACTAACATTTTTCTGGTGCTTTAAAACTGATATTGGTCATAATAGTTGTAGTATACATATCATGCATGCAGCATGATAATTGCATTCATTTCTCCAATTGTGTTGTTGTGAAGTACTTGGTATGATTCGCCTCAGTGTGGGGAACCACTGTGCAGCAGCAATGTCCCCAGCCAGAAACAAGTAAAGATCGGAGGCAAAGTTAGTTAAAGAAAGAACTATGTACTGTATGTCTCATTTTTTTCACAGAACAAACAATTTGATTCTTAATAATGTGAGGTTTATTATTTCACAGAACACTCTGATCACCCTGTCCAAAATCTTCTAGATCCTCCTCTGCTACACATGTTATAAAGAACCAAGCTGTGTGCATTGGTGAACAAGTTCATAACCTGTAGTCATTCATGTGTGTTCTGTGGCTGTGCATGGTGATGATATTCAGCATGTCTAAGAACATGCTGGTATGATTACACTATCAATACTTCATCTGTTTAAGTATATTCAAATAAATATAATGTTATCCTCCCAAAATCATTATGGCTATTGCCAATTCCTTTACCTACTGTACAACGTCTGCAGCACATTCATTTTTTAATTGCTGTAAACTGTGGAACCACAGATGCTGGGTTCAAAGGCTAACATCAGCAAAAGATTTATCCAAAAAATGCTTCAAAAGGTTGCTTTCCCCACAGTAGCTCTGCTACAGTACTGTTGAAAAGCCAGTGTTGAATGTCAAACTGTTGCTGGATAAATGAAAGCTTACAGGTGAGAAATGGCCAATAAACATGGCTTACAAAAACCCATCTATGTGTAACCTTCAAATCGAAATGTCTGACACTTAAATTGGGTGTATTTTTAAATATTTGTGCTTTGTACAGATACATGTTTGGGAGTATCTCAGACCAATTACATTTACTGCAGCACACAGCTAATCATTTGCCATAAAAACTGGCAGACAGACACACACACACAAATACGATATAGACAAAATACTTTGGGAGCTGACGTAGTGTCTAACAGCTGTTTGGCTGAGGCAGAAGAATGCAGTGTCTTTGTGTGTGTGTGTGTGTGTGTGTGTGTGTGTGCACAGACTGAGTCACTGACCATCACTGTAACGTAAAGGAAATGCCTTCCTCAACCGCAACCCCATTTTCCTAGACTCCGACATATTTGTCATACCACGAGTGAGGAATCAACTCTCCA